AATTGAATGCATCTGAATGATGGATCTGGCTGTGTCAAAGCTGTCGAGGAGCCCCGCTGCTCCTGATGCTGTCAACAGAGCAAAGAGGAAAAACAGAAACTGATGCTTATGGAAGGTGCCACTCCTTTCTCAACACCAACTAGCCCTCTGTTTTATATAGTCTTTCTGTCAGCAGCGCCCCAGTGGAGTCAGCCTGGTTTTTGGGACCAGAGAGTACCTGTACCCTAGACAGGTTTGCTTAGAGCCAGCCCCAGATAATACTACCATTATTTCTCTCTTCCCATACAGTTCACTAGACTAATCATGCAGTGTTTTCTGTAGCTCCCTTACAGGACAGGCTCCAGACAACAGATACAAGCATCTATACAACCCTTCATTTTTCAATTCCTTGATACTGCTGTAAGAAAAATAATAGTAATAAAAGCTGAGAGGGAACATAGATTGAATGAACCTAGAGAGAATAAATCCAGTACTGGAAGTTCCCAGGCAAACAAAGAAGCTTCCCAGGTGGAGCATAATGAGCGCTTGTTCAGGATAAAGTGCAAAGCTCAGAAGATCAATAGGTATTGAAGGAACACTGTCGTGTTTTGATCAGGGTAAACCAAAGAAATTATATTAATTGCTTTTCAAGACAGAGACTTCCACAGACTTTATTCCATTTTGCTATTATGCAGAGAAAGTTGGTAGAAAGCCACTTAAGAGTGTCCCATCGAGCTTGAATGTTGAAAAAATGATAAAAACAGTGAATTCTCCAATCTATTTAATGTTAAATTTATCTTATAACAACTTCTTCTTTGTTCCTTACTACCTCCTAAACCTATTTTCACTGTTTTGCACCTTTTCATTTTTTATTTCATAGACTTGCAAATCCCCTTCTCCAGTCACCATCTTCTCAGAAATCACTTTTCTTTCAAACTGTTCTCACCCTTCCTCCTACAAGCAGCTGTACTGTATGTCATCGTCTGGGCATGATTTAGACTGGGAGCTCTACAGTGCAAAGAACAGGTCTTATTTATGTTTGTGAATCCTCGTCTAACTTTATACTGCTGTATAAATGTTTAATAGGTAATAATGCATTTGCTGGAACAAGCTGTGCGCTACTCCTCATTGAGACTGTTTGGATACAATCCTTGCTGACTGTCAGAAGCTTCTGGAATAATAAATAAATAAATGCAGCTGTTTGGTGACACTGCAGTCTCAATGTTAAAGGATGCAATAGTTGAAATGGTCCATGAACATCCATCATAGCACTGGAAATGGCCATATCTCCTCTTTTCAGTTTTGAATTAGCATAGAGCTCAAGAGCTCGGTGCTATGGATGTATGCTCAGCTTCAGCCATTGAGCTTTATCTCCTTGATGTTATCTATATCCAGGCCTCCACAATGACACAATTTTAAAGAAGTATTTCAAATTTTTGTTTCCTCTTTAATGTTGGCTAAAGACTCTAGAATGGTTCTGTCCATTTTCTACTCCACTCTTAGCATGATGTTTCTTTGAGTGTATCACGACCTGTGTTAGAAATAATTCTGAAAGAGAAAACCCAGTAGCAGATCGGACGCATAGTTTTTATTTCATGGACCAAATAGGAGCCAGATGATTCATCACTGACACCACACAAATAATGAATGCTCAAGCAAACAGGGAATGTATCATGTCTTGGCCTCAGGGCCAATAAATAAAATATGGTGATGCTAACGGAGAATATGCAATAGGGCAGCAAGCATCTCAGGTCTTCATGTTATCTAGCCTAAGGTTAACATTCATAGAGACAAACCGCAACATAAATTTCCACAACCTGCACAAATAGATATCTTTGGGATTTGTTCTGCCCATGTTCTCTCTGTATCAGGTTGCTACTGATGGTGAAGCTAGTGATGACAAGTCTTATCCCTTCATCTCAACAATTTGTGCACTGTTGACATGAAATCCAGGGATATATTAAGAATTGCTACTGTGGCATGCTTGTAGGGGCTCTGAAAGGAGGAGTGAAATGGGGCCCCTGTCTAGCCATCTATCTCCAATAACACATCTTAGGGTTCAGATCTTTTTCCTATGAATTTTTATACAGTTTCACTAATAAGATATTTTATCCTTGAAAGAGATTTGACTAAGTGATGAATTAAGAAGATTTGACAATTGTCAGTGGGCAGTAGGAAAAAAAAAGGAGCTGTATCCAAGAGAAGTCAGTTTAAAATGCAGAAGATGACTCTACTATGAAAAAATCCTATTACAGGCATATCTCATGGACTTTATATAGTTTCTTCAGTTTCATAAACCACCACTGTAGCAATTTAAAAGTAGATTTGACCAAGCAGTATTGCAGGGAACACAGATATATCATCATGGATGAGCTAAGAACCCCCTTTTCTCCCATTTTCACAATTGTGCATGACAAGATTTCAGTACTAGTCAAAGTTTATTTACCTGTAACCGGCACAATTTTCAGGGTTTAGATTTTAGTGACAATAACTCTTTAGGAAGAAAGTTGTCTGCTATTTATCAAGTTAGAAATATTACAGGGGCAAAGAGAGGCATGGCTCCTAAGTGAAGATGAGCTAGCAGCATAGAATTTGGAAAGATCAGAACTGAAAAACTTCAGAAAATCTGCTCCCATATGACTGGAAGCTAACCTGTTTACAGATTCTCACTCAGTTGCAAGCATTCGGCTCTTGCAAGAAAACTGGCTACAGTTCTCTACCTATACTAACTGGTATCAGAAATGCATTCCCTGGAGCTATAATAATTTTCATTAACTTTTCATCTCATCAAATACCAGAGCTTACATGTGAAAGCTGTGTTCTATAAGGCCAAATACTTACAATCAAACTAAAACAGGAAGGGTCTTCAAACAGACCACATTGAAAGTCCACTCTCTTATTCTGCCTAGTCAGAGACCATCAAAAAACACTTTTAAGTACAGTGTAAGCCTCTTGGTACAAGAGGACAAGTGGTACAATGCCTTCATGCTTAACACAAAGTAATTTGAAGTGAAGAAAATAAAACTGAGAGTTGTTAGTTATTTTATTTTGCCTCTAAAGAACATGGTTTCAAGTACCCAAATGTATAGCTAAAATGAATAGTTAACAACTAATTTTACACAGCTTATTTAGAGCTCACAGCTTGTAGGAACTGCAAACCTGTTGCCCCCTCCTCCCCCTCCACCACCTCATTGTTTTTGTCAAGGAATCCATATCTAATTCACAAAAATATATTTCTGTAGAAACTATAAAACTTCTTTCATGACCACTTTGCTTTGTCTCTAGTTCATTTAAAATGTAACAAGCTCTGACTCAGATATAATTAGAATAATTTGCATTAATTCTAGTACTTAACGATTTATGATACCTCATGTATTCACAGAAGAGTCCCATCTTCAAAAGGTTTCAAGGATGAACTGCTATGCCTCAGAGACAAAAAACCCTTTAAGATTGGGGTCAAGCTGGGCATTTAGATTCAAAAATAATAAATAAATCCATTTGGAGACAAAAGCCTATTGTATATTGCTCCTCCAGGAAAACCCATGGGTGGTTGAGAATTACTTGGGAAAACTTTGTGTAAATTAGTTCTGAATCACTCTCAGTTCTTTCTTCCACACTGAAAAGAGGGGTCTATGGAGGGAGAAAAGCATTGGTGAGTTCACACAGGGTCACGGAATATCTGGCTTTCCAAATGCAGCACTAGAAACCATTCATGCTTCTTGGGATGTTGAAAGGCAGACTGAGCATATTCCCTGCCCATGGCTCACTGAGGAACTGGGGCACCCTCTCTACATGTACCCAACTAAAAATGACGTGGGGGAAGTGGTGTGGGGCTAGAAGGTACAGAGGGGAGCACAAACTGCAGCAGTAAAAGCTTATGCATTGTGATGGTTCAAAGGCACCACTTCCTGCTCTCTGCTCAAAAGCAAAAAAAAAATATCTATATATATAGATAAATAAATAAATAAATAAATCAGTCCCACTGTTCCTCATCCAACATTGCTTTCTCTGCTACTGGGCAGACACTGCCAAGCTGACAAAGCAGACACATGGAAATCTAGAGTTTGTTACAAACCACAGAATTTTACTCAGGCATTTTGCAACATCCTATAGAATTAAATAGAAACTAATAACCAGACTACAGAGTTATTTACATTAGTTCAGAAAAACTGGAAATATGAAGTTATATTCTGGTCTTTCATAGTAACATTTATAGAAAAAAAAAAAAAAAAAAAAAAAAAACGATTCTTTATTCTTAACTCTGTAATCATATGCTAACAATTATCGCCACAAAAGCTATTTCAATTCTTCCAAGTTATAAAACAAACTAGACAGCAGGAACAGCTTTGAACCTTTGAACATCAGGTTCTTATTTACTTTGCCATCCTATCTTTAGGTCAAAATCTTACACATCTGCTGAAAGCACGTTCTCCACCTGAGGCAATTCTCCTGGTAGAACTGCTTCAGGTACCAAGCTGCTGAGGAGGAGCAGTACAACCTTGATTCAGTCCTTGATTAGAAAACAAGACCTCCTTACAGAGGTCTGTGGAGACTCTCAGATTCAGCAAGTGAAGGACACAGCACTTCCATTATGTCTCGTATTTGCCCAGGAGTGAAAACTGAGTGAGTTAGGGCATAACCCTGGGGAACTATGTTAATCAACACACACTGGCCATGATTTTGAAGTCAGCGTATACATACATGCTATATAGTTTGGTTCTTGTCCTGAAGCCTCTGAAACCAAGTGTTTTCCTATTACCACAAAGCCCAGTCTTTAACATCATTCACGGGAGACAGTACAAGCAGGGTGGTAAACGATGTACAGATTGACTTGATTTCTCAAGCTTAGTTCTAATTCAATGCAACTCTCTGAGGAAGACATATATCTGGTGTTTAAAATATTGCATTCAAAATCAAGCAAGTATTCTTCTACCAATGGCTTTGCAAGACACTTTACTGAAAGTTTCCATACTGTGTTTGAGATGAATACTGGGGAGTGTAACAATGCATGAAGTACATACCTTTGGCAGAGCTTGCAGAAAGAGAAGCCACAGCTCCACAGGTATGCCCTGGCCTCCTCCTGGAAAAAGAGAAAAGCAGCAAGTGTTTTACAATATAATAATCTAATGCATCTATTGGAAAAATGAACTATAAAATAGTCTCTTAGACTAAAATAGAAGAAACCACCATGACACTGGGGTCTGTGAGAAATCTATATGATTTTTTCTAGCCTATCTACTTCAACTAGTATTGTTATTTTTTAAAAGCTAAAAGTCACCATTTGACTATGAGTATGCTTTTATGAGGAAAGAGCCTCCATGTCTACGTGAAACCCAAAGCAACATCATCTGTGTTTATTATTCTGTAAAGAGAAACAGTGCCAAACTTCCTGCAACACCCACTTTAGCTGCTGAAATCCAGAGAACTGAATGTGCTGCTGTTAGCATTTGGAAACAGAAATATGTTTTGATCTAATATATTAGACACAGGCTTGCTTGGTAACTAGAAGGTACTGGATTCCAGAGCAGGTTGAAGTAGTGCAAAATACTCAACTCATACAGGATAACTTCTATTCACCATCTTTGAAAATCTCCAAGTGTTCTACACACCCTAAAAATACCACGAAAGTCAGTAAACAGTTGAATTCTCCCAGGTCATCACATAAATCGCAGCTTAATTGATGCATACTAATGTTTTAACACTACTCTTACTACATTGTACTTAATACAAAGATACTCATGAGACAGGACTAAGACAAAACTTCTCATGAAGAGAGATTTCTGTGTTGCAGTTGGGGCTATTGCTGTTTGGTCAGGTGTCTTCCTACTGGCAGAGGATGCAGCTTGTAGATATGCACAAGTAGGGATACAGTGGGATACAGGGCCAGCTCTCTCCTGTGGACACTATGCTGATGCTTCTCGTCTTACAGTCTCTCAGAAAAGTGCCTCCTTCTGTCTCTTGCCTGTCTCTTCCTGAACATCTCCCTAAGAATCAAGTGGGAAAACAGCTGCCCAGAAAGACAAATCTACAAAAGTTGTCTAGAACATTTCAGTGAGATCTAAACCCTGCAGAAGTTCTGCTTTCAGGATTCAAATTTCAGGATTCTATTAAAAATTATTTCTAGGATTTAATTCTAAATCCTAGAATTCTAAATTCTAAAATAATTCTAAATCCTAGAATTCTAAATTCTAAAATTTAATTCTAGGTTCTGGGCTTTTCTGACCTCATTAAGGCTGTACAATGGGAACTCACCTATCCGTTTCCCTGCCCACAACAGGCAATTCTCTACATGTCTTCAACAAGTGACAGCAGATAGGAAATTCATTCTCTGCTGTTACCACCATAGACAAGTAATCAGAAACGCCAAAAAGCAGCAGATTTCAACTGCTGCTCTCCAAGTCCAGTGCGGATGATACGAGCAGGGCCTATACTCCAAGCTGTCCCCCTGCCACAGAGCCTTGGGATGGGGAGAGCTCACAGTTTAGCAACATCATCGTGCTATGACCATGACAAGGGTCCTGTATACTCTGAATGAAAAGCTGTCAGTTAGCAATATATAAGTAGGCACTTTTCAAAACTGAAAACCTCCTCCCTGCTTCTTTCTTTGCTTCTCAAGTGGTAGCCCATAGCTACCTCTGGATGGGGAAAAGACACCAGCTTCTCCCCTGCAGGAAGGGCATTATAGGACTAAAAGTATTCCTTCAGCTGAATATATTATATCCAAACTTCCCTTTCTCGTCATACAAGTTCTATCTCTGTCAGGACAGTTGCAGTCCAGAAATGGGAGGAAGAAAAAGTCTCCCCAGCACGCTTCCAGCCAGGGGGAAGGGCTCCGGCCTACGCCGGCAAGTGATCCCTCATGCCTGCCGCCCTGTGCACTAGCAGGCCCCCGGGGAGCTGCTCCACATGAGACAGCCTGTCTCTTCTGTCCTGCTCTTCCTTCTCAGTTGTAAGGTTGATGCACTCATTGGTATGTCCTTGCCAGTCAGTGAGGAGTTTATCCCTTTCAACAGTGTTGTTTTGGGGAGCAAGTAAAATGCTTCAAGTGTTCCCACCTCTTTCTTCCTCTCAGGAACCAATCCACCTCACCAGTTGCATCAACCCAGAAGCAAGGACTAAGGCACTACACACACCTCAACCCTCAGGTTCTGAGGCTCATTCTCCTCACAATTCAATGCATCAAGCCCGCCACATTGGACAGTGGAACCCATAACCATGCCATAACACTACTGGGTATACCTGTAAGACGTGGTGTGATACCACTGTTACCCTAAAGCCTCTTCCACCAACAGACACATTTTTGCCAGCCCAGCTTGGCTGTCTGTCTTTCCATGGTATTCAGCTTTTCATTTCTCATTTACTACCTCTTGAGAGAAAAGTAATGCTATTATACCCTACTTGGGTGCTGTGACAATCTAAGATCCCTACAGAAAAGCTCTAATAAAGAAAAAAGGCACACCCGTATATTTTCTTTCTATCCTAAACTTAACTTGGGATCAAATCTCTTATCCAATGCCTTTCCTTTAGGTGTGGGGTCAACTAAGCCTACTCAAATCATAATCTGACTTACTCTTGGTCTAATGCCAGTGCTGTTATGGAAAACATAAAGGTACAACACATTTTTCTTTTCTATTAATTTACCTAGGGAGGAAATGCTGAGCACACACTACCTGTAATGTGTCAAACTTGGATTGTTTACCTGCAAAAATAGCTTTTTGACTCAAATCACACCCTATCCCTGGCCATACTTAGAAAAAAAAATGTTTCTGAAAATAGTAATAAACAAAAGTCAGACCTCATTTCAAGAAAAACTATTGGATGGTTTTGGCTAAAATCTAGAGTCCAAAGATAGACAACATGAAGCAAAATACTTAAGCCCTGATTCCAAGAACGTTATTCAAGGAAATTGACACTTTCCACTTGCCAGAAGACAGCAAAACACGTAAGTATAACTGGAGCACACAACATTATGAATAGCAGTAACAGTTAGTGTTGCCATTAGATAAGCAACTCTGACACGAACCACTCTTATCTAATGTTGATTTGGAATGCCAAAGGACTGTTATTTCCACTCGTTTGCCACAGAGGAGAAATTCTTTGAGAGCCCAATTAAGTTCAATCATGAACACATGCTTCCTACAGATATCCCTGAGGATCAGGCACATATTACAACTACATTCCTAACAGCCAGAAGGGCAGTAACAGCACAACCAAATTCTACTTTCAAACTGCTGGATTACAGCTTGAAGAAACAGTGCCCAGGATGCTGCCTGCTCCCTGCAGAATGGTCTGGTGCGGGCAAAGTATGTATAAATTTCCACTCTGGCAAGCCCAACAGTCTAACCTGCTTATGTGACAGCCATGCAGCATCCAGACAGCTTGAGAAAGATGAAGTAAAATATCTGAATTACTATCTTTTAAATTAAATAGTATAAATAATGTACAGAACATATGTTCTGACTGGGACACTATTTTAGGGTTCAAGTAAATTTTCTAAGTTACTTACGAGGGTGGAAATGTTTGGATATCAAAGTATTAACAGCAAAAGTGCACATCCTGGATACCAAGAACAAAGACGTTATGATACTGGAAGCTGCTGGAGGTACAATGAGATATATTCTGGGCAATCTTTCCTGCATCTCATGCAGAAACCTCATTCATAACTATTCCACGTCATTGCCTCCTCTCAACCCAACCTCGACCATGGGCTTTGATCTTTTCACACACTCTCTGCTCATCCTCCCAGTCTATACTTTTACTACCCCTGTTAAGCCTTTAAAGCAGAAATTAAATTAAAAATAAAAATTAAAAAAAAAAAACAAACAAAACAAAACACACCAGTGCCTTCATGGAATACAAGCACACGTCAGAAAGCAAAGAGCATGTATATCCATCCTGCTACCCACAAGAGTCTAACACCATTTCAATTCTGCCCTGCAAAAATTAGTCTTGCACATCAAAGGATGGCTGCTGTGCCACTTGTAGCAGTATGAAGGCCATCATTTTCCACACACCTTCTTGTGAAGGAGAAACATGCCCAGCTCTGCACTGTATGTGATGCACCACAGAGTCAGCATTCATGTCTGTAAAACTTGAGTGTGGGGGAGCAGAGATGAAGGAGAGGGAAAACAAAACTGTCACTGCCTCTGCCGCTTTGGAGTGCTTGCCCCTTTTCATCACAAATTAAAATAGCCCCCAGACAAGACACTGAAGGTTCAACTCAGAGCACAGAATGAAATTAAGTCATTTTCTCCAGCTTAGTCACTGACTTTCCATGCCTTTCAAACAAAAAGCCAGGAAGAGCATTGAGGAGCACAGCAGCAGCAGCAACAGCACTGCTGCTGAGAGGTCTTACAACAAATGCCTTTGGAAAAAATGACGTCAGTAATGCAAAGAAGAACAGAAGATCACAAAAGGAAGCTGATGACGAAGGGACATTTCCCATCCCCAGCCTTATGAGTACTGTAATCCTAGCAACCAGAGCTGTTCAAAAGTGTGTGTAGGAGGACAGAGGGAAGAAAGGGTAGCACTGTTTATAGTACATAGAAATAGAGGCTGCAGCAGTAGCCAAATGAAGAGAATAACTTTTATGCATGAACGGAAGAATGGAAGGAAATGGGTAGGTAAGGACAATTGTAGGATTTGTACTGTACAGAAGAGAATCACAAAGGATGCAATTTCTTCCATGGAAAAGATGTTTCACCCATGGAGTTGGATGAAATAACTCATCTGGAATAGTAACCTTGTAATATTTGTTACCTGTGGTTCTGTTACTAGACAGGTTGCAGTTTTTACTTATAATTAGCACTTTATCAGCTAAAAAGTCAAGGCATTCTGTGCATCAATCCATTTTGTCTTACATCACCTTTACAAGATGCTTATCAACCAAGACTGAAAGGAATGCCTGGTGTGACTCACAAATACTTTAAAGGGTTCTCAAAGTTTGAATACTCAACACTTTCTGAAAATAAACTTCCTGGAATAAGCTTTTAGGTCATTTCGTATCACTAAGCCTTTCTGATATCCTGGCCATTTCCTCTCTTCTATTGCAAACAAAATGGAAGTGCACAGAGGCACCAA